TTCTGCATTCAGCGTAATCAGGAGATTCCCCTAAATTAATGAAAGTTTTTAAATCGGTCGGATAAATTAGAAAAAGTGGCATTCAAAATAAAAATTACCTCCTTTCTTCCAATAGACGGAAATGCCTACACCTGACTTGCCCGCTGCAAAGACAATATTACTCATATCTTCCTGTTTTCCCGGTGGAGGCGGTCCTTCATTCACCTCTTTTTTGTACACAAGTTTGTAATCAAGCCGATTTTTATCCTCGTTCTCAGTGAAATCCTCTTTAATTGCAAACATTTGGTATTACGTTGCATAAATTGAGCAATCAGTGTAATTTTAATTACTCACTACAGTATTCCCCAACATTGTCCGGATTTGCTTTAATTCCAGTCCATTTGCATATAGTTTTGTCTCCCACTTTCAAAATACTCTTAAAAAGAATATATTTAAGGCATTTTTAAACAAAATTACAGGTAGGAAACAACTCATTATGCATTTCAATTTTAATCACGATATCAAAAACAAAAAATTGAACATTTGATTGGTTTAAGGTTGATCTAATGGAAAAGCAGGCATACCTCCACACTGATTGACGATCCATTTATGGAAAATTGAATTTCAACAGAATTCATTCCACTTGCATATCTGGCAAACGGAAACGACACATCCGGTATCACTTCACCTAAAATGTGCGTCAACAATTATAAATTAATAAAAACATTTAATATTTTGCTATAGTCATTATGGTTTCGTCATAATCATCTACGGCTCTCGGCTGCTTCTTACCTTGTTTAGCGGGCTTGAATATGCACTTTGGGGCAAACGTAACGATGCACTCTTCTCCTCCACTACTAACAACCAGTTGTCCATATTTTGTAACATCATCAATTGTAATAATAAGAAAACCTATAAAATGTTTGTCAAACAAATGTCTGGAAAACAAGCATAAATCATTACCTGACTCATTTTCACAAGGCTTTCCAATCTCTGTGCCATCCAGTTTACAACTTCTGTCACTTATATCGACTCGAGACTTTTGGTCTCCCATAGTGACGAAGACGTTCTAAAGGTAAACATATAAGTTCACGCAGTTAAAGCAATTTTTACCTGATCTGCTTTCGCAGGAAATATTAATGGTCCCGTTGTTCCATTTGGTGTGCCGACAATTCTTGAACATATAGAATCTGGCAAGTCTGCACAGTCTATTACAAAATGAGTATTGATTTGCAATAAAATAAAAACAAAAAGATTGAAATTCATTTGCTTGGATATGTGTTTCAAAATGTATCACACTTCTATATAACTCCCTTTTATATAATGCAATTGTGTATGTGCGCTTGATTGGATAGCAATGCAAGGTCATCGAAGCTGTGTCTTAAAAAAGACATTATTACCGAAAAAGAAATGTGTGCAAAACTGATTTAATTGGAAAAAGCAATATGGAATGAATCATACTTAACTACTTGATTTCAATACCTTCCTATGCAGACATCTTAAATTATTTGATTATTACACATATACAGATAAAAGAATTTTCAAACATTTCATTATTGCTTTTCACAATTCTGTGTTATTGAAAAGTAACAATGTTAATATTTTAAACAATCTTTTATCAATTGTGAAGCATTTAAACTCCATGTTGGGATTAGAGTCTTTACTCATTGAACGAATAGCGTTTAGATATTTCTCCGTGTCCCACTGTTTGCTTGAAGGCAAGAAATCTTGAACAGAAACTGTTTTTTCCAACGTTGTCTACAGCTAGAATTCCTTGACATTAAGTGGCAAATATATTATCGAAAGCTCAAAAATACAAAATTAGTTAACGATGAAAAATAAACTTGAAAGAAACCATGAACAATGTATAAGTGAATTTTAACTTTAGAGTTGGCAATTTCACTCTAGAAATGCGAAGCCTGTTCATCAAATTCATTAAAATTTCGGGTATTTTACAACTTAATGATTTGAAACAGCATTTATAAAAGTAAAATTCACATTCTTGTTGATAGTATGTTTTTGTATGCTTCTAAAATTTTAGGTAAATATGCTACATTTTTACAGATAAATCTATACTGGGGAAAAATTTGATACTTACTTCACTTTCATTAGCTCATAATATCTGCATTGTCTGACTACAATTCTCTCACACGAATTCTAATTCAAGCTAAATGGTTCCAAGTAGCGTTCGGGACTCATATTGAGAGCATTGTTTTTTTTCGATTTCCTTCGCGTCTTCTAAGTTTGATTGATCTCCTTTATTGATTTCTGTCCTAAATGCGAATCAGGACAGGTATATATTTTAACATCCAAAACATCTTTTTTACCAAATTTATTGAATCTACCAACTTTGAAATTTATTCTGATCATTCTATTCAAAAATAAATTCAGCTATTAACTTAATTCAAACTGTTTACAATAGACCACAAATGAGGTAAATGTTAGATGAATTCCTATTACTAGTGAATGGACCTTACATATGCACAATTATGGTTATTTAAACGTACTACTAAATTTGCCAAGCGTACACTCAGTTTTTCATAACAATACTGACAAGATTTGGACTGCAAGCTATAAAACAATATCTGCCAAACAATGGATATTTAAACTGAAATTATGTCTCAAACTATCCACCTGATCAGACTGGAAGAACGGAAGACGTACAAGCCTGGAGACAGCAGTCAGCTGTCCTAAGGCAAGCCATCCTACAAGCTAAATGGCCAACAGTGAAAAACGCTAAGCAGCCGGGTAAGTGTGGGTGTGGGGCTGTGTGTGCCTAGTGGACGCAAACTACACATGCATATTGAATGAAGGGCACTGCTAAATATTGAATGCTCTGACGTCATCTGCAGAAACGCAGTCTGTGACAGCATTTCAACAGAGTGAAAGCCATCGTCTTCTAAACCGAAGAAGAAGGGTAGCATCAACTACACTGAAACAGCATCTTTCCTCTCCAAACTCCACTACGCAGTACGCAATTCTGACACGAACAAACTTTTACCAAAACATTTTAAGATTGTCGTTTACAAGTCAAAACTTGGACGATTGTTGTGGCGGATAAAATCGTATGACCATCATATCCATTCAAATATTTTAATACAGCGACTCTGCATAAAGTATTGCAAGAAAGCCAGAGTTAGAAGAATTTTCACTATCTTGCTATATCTTTCAAATCCAATATTGCACTACACCTTTGTGTATGGGCCAGAAACATCAATGAAACAAATTAACCACGTTTATATTATTTTGAATTGCGTACTTAAACAATAAATGTTATTTCCGTAAATTTGGTGAAATTGTTTGTGTACGGACAATCTGTGGTGGATTGCAACATATATAAGCCCTGGCATATCCTTGGTAATTTCTCGAGTAAAATAACTGCAACAACACAGAGGAGACAGATGAGCTGTGTGGAGCACGTTTATTTCGAAGGGGCGTCTGACACGGAGCTTACTCATGGAAATATAATGTAGGCTTTGCTTAACAACGTAAAGATTATTGATTGGTAGCTGTCTGTGAAGTCCCTGTGTTCACGCCGCACTTGCTCTTTACGTGACAAGTACCATGGCCCCACCCTCAGGTCGTGAAGCTCTGAGCTTTCTTTATTCAACCATCGCAGCGTTGTACACTCCACAAAACTCAATTAGTCATTACTTCATCCGACACATAAGCCTTGAATCAAATATTGTGCTATACTTTGGATGCTCAGGGGATAATATAGGCCAAAAATTGATTTGGAGCCGTTATGCGGCATTCGCACTAAAAGTGGAATTCTTTGGCCAATACTATTTTGAGGGCTTGACTCATTCTTTCTCCTTATTGTTTGAGCAAATATGGGCTTGATTCTTGCCATTANGCAACACCAAATAATGTACTTTCTGAACCAATCAGACCTTGCAAACTTAATGCTGCGATATAAATGCTAAAGTGCAAAAGGTCTCCTGGCGAAGACGGCACTCATCCAGAATTTCTAATTAGAATGGGATGGTATTCATCCAGAATTTCTAATTAGAATGGGTCCAAAAGAAAGGAAACCATGCTGACGCTTTTCAACAAAATCTGGGAGATCAGTCTCGTACCTAACCAATGGGAAGTTGCTAATACCAGTACTAAAAAGGGCAAAGACCCTAGCAACTTTGATCAGTACTAAAAAAGGGCAAAGAACCTAGCAACTTTGACAAACCTAGCAACTTTGACAACTATAGGCCTATCTCCCTCGACAAGCGTGCTGGCTAAATTTATGGAAAGAATGGTTAACAGGAGGCACAGCTGGCTAAACTTATGGAAAGAATGGTTAACAGGAGGCTAAGAGTATTCTTAGGAGCAGGTTTTATGCCTCGATAAAGATCAGAAAACCAGTATAAAGTCGCTTTCTCCAAAAATATTAAAGAGCCCTGGATGCAAGAAATATCCTAACGACTGTTTTCGTCGATTTCAAATCAGCATATGACTTAGTATCCATTAAAGATGCCATTGATGCAAGAAATACCCTTACGGCTATAATGCCCATGATGCAAGAAATACTCTTACGGCTGTATTCACCTCCCTTGATGCAAGAAATACTCTTACGGCTGTTTTCGTCGGTTTCAAATCAGCATATGACTTAGTATGGAAAGAGAAGCTAATTCGAAAATTGATCAGCATATGACTTAGTATGGAAATAGAAGCTAATTCTATAATTGGCAAAGATTGGTATTAAGCATAACTTGCTATGTTGGATAAAATCATTCAATGGATAAAGATCATGTTAGATGATATGGAAATGCTAACTCAAAATCCAGTTAAGTCAGATATGGAAATGCTAACTCAAAATCCAATCTTTTACAAACAGGCCTTCCACAGGGAGCTTTCACAAGCTGCATTCTTTTCAATGTCTTCATCAATGACATAGTCGAATCAATACAGACGGTTGCGGGCATCAAAATCTGTGGTATTCCGTCCCTAAGAAAAACGTTCAGGAGAGGACAGAAAGTGCCCTAAATTGTGCGCTAAAACAGCTAGAAAACCGGTGCAACAATAATGGAATGGTAATTAACACCGCGAAAACTCCATTCAAAACATTTTCTTTGGCCCGTCACAGCATAAACCCGCTTAAAAAGTACAAGGATCGCACCCAAGAAAAAACCAATGAGTTCAATGACTTTTGACACAAAGCGAACGTGGAAAAGTTACATTGCTAAAGTAGCATAACGAATCTCCAATAGACTGAATGTACTAAAGCGTCTTGCTGGTAGCGTATGGG